CTGCCGGTCCGTGGAGACGTCTCCGTCGGGTACTCTCCTCTGCCGGGCAACTCGGTACGTCGAGACTATCTCCCCACGGCAAATTCGAGCACCTCGACCTCAACTGAACAATAACGAAATCTTACGAGAGCCTTGACATAAGTGTACGAATCAACCCGAGAGCGTAGCTTCTGAGCAGGGTGGCGACCCGAAGGGAACCAGAAATCGAGAACGTTATCTGTATCGGTAACCGGAGCCGCCTTGGGACCGTGATTCGAAAAATCACGTCACAAATAAAAATAAAAATGTTCAACTCCCTATTATCACGTATATATTGAAACTGGTGGTTTTGTAGATATCAGCAAAGAAATGGCCATTGACTCTTACGACATAGTCAGCACCCTGCAAGCCTTGGGAATGATGAAGTACTGGAAGGGCAAACATATCATACTGAAAAAGCAGGTAAGCCACGACCAGGGGACTCATTGATCCCTAAATATTCTTATCGTGTTTAAAAACTTTCTTTTTAAAGATTTTTATGAATGCTCAAGTGGGACGTTGATATAGAATTTTTTTTTATAAGAAATCTAAGAGCATGTCTTTTTTGAGTTCCTGAATAAAATTCTTTAAAATTCCTAGTTACCCTCTAAAGACACAAGGGGGCAACCTGGTGATCCTACCGAGCTTGTTAAAAAGAAAGACTTTCATGAGATGATCTGGTGCTTGTTGTTTGATAAAAAAAATAATCATTCCAGGATGTGATCGACGACTACAAAGAGAGAGTGAAGCGACGTGGTCCCGTCTACAAGGAAATCGATCCGGAGTGTCTGAAATGGAATCCCTTCCAGCCGCCCAAGACACCCTCCGCTTCAAACTAATAGAACTGGCCAATAACCTCTTCCTGCTTTCACCTCATCTTTCTCCCTCAGTCTTTCAAACCTTGTCTGTCTCTCTCTCTCGCATGTATTCGTCCCCCCCAGTGGTCTCTAATAAAAAGACCACCCTTCCCGTTCATGAGAATCTGCCCTTCCTCTTCTTCTTCTTCTTATGGGAAGCCATAAGCCGCTACAAGCAGATTTCACGCCTTAGTCCGTATCCTAAGAACCGAGAGGCCTTTCTTTTTACTTTATTTCCTTTTCTCACCATTGAACCAATCCCAGAACACCCTGTACCTTTGTAGGAAATTATAAGAAAAAGTGGCCATCCGTTCTCCACCTGCAAGTTCATTGAAATAAGAATGCACTCAGTAGTGAAATCCTGATTGGCATATTTTTTGTGGCTTATAGTATAATAAATAATTCGTGCATGTCCTACCATGGTATCGTTTAACGTAATTACCTATATTAGGTGAATTCGAATGAAGTCCTTGAATTAATTTAAAGAAGAAAAAAAAAAAAGAAAAAACTTGCTAACTAGCAACGTCGACCATTGTTTTAATTCGACATGAAGATTTTAATGATAACAGTGTACACTCGAACAGAAGTCGAGAAATTCGCACGGAACGATAATAAGAAATAGGATGATAAATCCCGAGTACAAAAATTTTTATTATATAAGAGCCATTACGTATTAGCTCGCAATTGTGTACGTACATTTACGATAACGTTGTTAAGGACACGAGAATAAAGTTCTTATGGACTCTACATTGAGAATTTGTATGAGATTTTTTATTTATACCAAATTCCGTGTCTCATTTCTAATTATGTACAGTGCCAAAGTTACGTTATGTTCCTGAGAATCCTATAAAGGCCACCTGAGGATCTTTTAATTGATACGGAACCCCTGCACACTGACTATCCTGAATATAAAATGCTCAAATTCCTACGTGCTATTAGTAATGAAAAACGTGGTTTGAATTAATAATAAATTAGTAAATATCAGTAAAGGAACACCTTAAGAATCTACTATAGCGAATTAACACCCGTGCAAGTCACTGTGTACAGATATACAATTTACATGAACATTTATTGGAGTCTTGCCTGATGGAGTCATTTTATTTGCATTAGACTAAACAAGTCATGAGACTTCCAACCAGCCAAGATAAGACAATCTTAAGTAATGAATGATTCAGGGTATCAATAAAAAGTCGAAAAAAAGATTTCATAGTACATTAGAAGAAAATTTTTATTAAAATTGTTTATCACTCTACAATATTTTATAGTATTTAGAACCAGCAGATACGATCTATACAATATAGATCAGTCCAGCATGCCCAGAAAGAATTTTCCAAGTGATGGATCATAATTCAACTTCCAATTGAATAGGGTTGGATCCATAAGCTGTAACAGATAGCCTCGTGCACTTTGTAAAATCATTCTATTGCCTGAAAGTCCCAATGGAGTTAAAGGAACAGCCAACGTAACGAAAAGAAAAATACAAGGAACCAATCTGATTATAATTTCCAGTAGCTAGTGGAAATTCTTGTAACCTGGAGGAAGACGTCCCAGACATTATAAGTATATATGGACACAAGCCTTATTGTGGTAAAGACCTTCGAATAGTTTTTCAATAATTTCCTTGTAAATTAAAATGAAAAAAAAAACCTAAGCTCCAATTCAGAGTAGTTTGGTTCCGGTCTTAGCAGTCGAAGGCTGGGTATCCCCGGCAGGATATCCATGCCAAAAAGTATTACGACTGCAAAGAGTTACTAAAATATACAAGTTCCAACAATGTATTATCTACAGTTTTTTAATAAAATTTAATTCCTTATCGATAAGGATTATCTATTATTGTCACAGTCCATTCTCAATGAAATATCAAAAGTTTCAATAATATATAACCACCAGCAATCCATTATCCTGCCGACCTGGCTGTTACACGCCATGCGTACACCTGGTGAACAAAATGCCTCCCTGTACAATAATTATAACCAATACAAAAAGAGCAGAGCCACTAAAAAAAATTTTTGAAATTATAACAGTACAAGATTGCGAATAGTCTGAGAAGTTTTCAAGTAAAAAAAAAAGAGAGCATGACACTAACGATCCTATAAAGCTAATAAGTACCTATAATTAGTCTCTTGAAATCCAAGAGAGAAACGAGCAATGAAAAGTTCCCCATGAAGACTCCAGGGCGTTCAATGAAGAGAATAATAAAGAATAAAATTCTGTCATATAACGATGTAAATGTTGACTGAGGTATACTCCCTCTTTTCATGACCCTTTCACATAGGTAGCGTGGTACATAAATATATGCCAATTCAAACCAGTCCAGGGAATGATGATGGTCCACCAACACGAAATCCGGGGCACTGCTATTGGCAAATTGATAAATTGGCGCAGTCCGGCCACGAAATGACAACAGGTTCGTCCCTGGAACCATAATCGAATACATCTGCCGTGCACGTGGCCTGAAGCAAATACAAAATTTAAACTTTCTTTTTCGTTCGTACTCATTGTACAGGCACTTATACAAATCCTTAACGAATATCTGTTTTCCAGGTGTAGCTCTTCTCTGAATGATAAAGAAAAACAAGGATTACACACCTAACCCAGAAAAGGCTCTGAAATTCTTGAATACCTTTAACCGCTACGTTAACCTATAATGTGAATATACAGATTTTGTATAATAAGCAAATTCCAAGTTTTTCCTTCTACTCATTCTACGGGTAGCCAAATCCTCGAGAAATAACTGTTTTTCCATGAGTAGCTGTTCACTGAGCGACACTCAAAGAAGAACATAACCTAACGGAACGTTATCCTGTAATATGTATATAAAATTTTTCTAATGGGATCTGTAAAGAAAAATATATGTTTAGACTCAACTTTGTTATATGTACTATATGGACGATTCGTGGAAGAAGCCTTTCGCATTGCGGCTAACAAAACGTTCCGGGAAGTAACGATACGTGGACGTTGACGTAGACACTTCTATACATATCAGCGATACATCCATACCGGGAGTGCAGACTAAATATTGTCGTATCGGCCCCCCCAGATGCGCTCAGTAAACTCGCGAGGCATTTATCGCGTAATTCCTGGTGAAATTTAAACAGCTCGACTGATTACGAGAAGACAATGATTATTTTACATACGATTAACTATCGTATATAGACTAGAAATAAGGCACGTGATTTTTCAATGTACGATTAAACCATGAATCACGTAACTTACTAGAAATATAATAACCGAATGGTAGCACTATGGAATTGCGTGCTCAGTTTTGAAATTTATAATATACCGTCGGATTCAGGTAACTACTAGATATCTTAAATCCGATCTAAAGCAGAGTCCGTTGATTATTTATAACGATGACGTAAATACTAAAAATTGCTTTTAATAGCTCAGACAAGTTTTATTGAACGATGAAAATTCTTTATTTGAGGTTAGGTTATCCTTCAAAATCCCAGACACAACAATCACGTCCAAAAGTCATATTTAAGATGTTCGAATGACAACTCCTGTCCTATTGGACGTATAAAGGATGTCTCTTGGACGTCATACACGATTATTACGTACAAACGTACAAGCTGAAGGCAAGTCTATTATAGAAATCAAATAGAAAGGCTAACTTCGGGTGGTTAGGCTTAAATATTTTTCAATGATGATAATGAATATCCATGTGAATATAAAATGCCAGGTTTGATATTTGTATTCAACGCTACGTTGTGAGTTTGACGTACTATGAAATCAAGTGAAAACATAACCTATAAAGATGAGGCTTTGAATATTCATTTTCACGGAGATAGATACGTACACAAGGGATGACTGCACGAGAGTGCGATGTTCCATTTCACGAAGTGACCAGACACGTATTTATATGACGATTGCTCTTTTGCTTCGTTCTTCTCTCCAGGCATTTCGATAATTGGCCATAGTTCCTTTTTACGTTGGGATTTCCTGCACGTGCTGGGACTCCACTTTTGTTTTTCTTTTCTCGTGTCGCGATCCCCAACGAGATACTTTATTCTTTTCTTTTTTCGATACTGTACTAAAGGATACTGGTCAAATGGTCGTTATCGTGTTTCCGATTATATATTTATTTGCCCACGAGTAAGCTCGACCCACGACCTTCGACCTTTTCACGATTCTCAGAAGACTCGAACCTGCGTCACCTCTTTCACGCGTCATGATTTTACTGATTGGTGCACGTGTATTTGCACTGTTATTTATATACTATGTATATATCATAGAACGTAGATACGTTATAAATTTCTGATAAATAATATTGAAATTGTGCACTGTGAAGTAAGTGGAATAATTAGAACGAAAATTTATTAATATTACCAACGTTCCACGAGTAGCGTTCACGGTACGTCGTTCCATTCCCAAACCCACAAGGACACCATGACCAACAAGAAATCCTTTGCCAAGTCCTGCGAATTGACACAAGAAGGAGGCACAAAAATTATCGAGACCATTTTGTAATTTTATAAAAAATATATATCGTGCACTGGTCGACTAACGGTAGTCCCACGAGGACGACGCACACCCACTTATAGAAAATAAAAGGGAAAAAAGAGAGAACGAGGAGTGGCGCACAGTCATTGGTTAATTGAACAAACGACGGAATAATTCAACAGGTCCGAGAAAGGCAAGTTGATGAAAAAGGCAAGCAAGGCACAGTCATATGAATTGCGCTCCAACAGGTGCCGGGTATCGGATTCACCAGAGCACCTGATGAAGTACAATTAACATGCAGCCTCTCTAACGATTACATCGGCCATCTTGAAAAAAAAAATCACTTCGTCACGGACGAGTCTTACGATGCACAAAAATTAATCAAGTCCAATTCCAATGGCGTTGGTCGAAGATAGCCCTTCAGCAGCGCGCGCTACTTCTGGTACCTGACTGATTATAGGAATAGCACAGCCTGAAGTACCCGAGTAGCGCGCGTTGCAAACGGCATTTAGGTAATATCCGTTCTGGCCGATGTCTGCGGTTGTCCTGGATGTTCTTGGTGTCTTCGTTCTGCGTATCACGGTCCATATCAACACCAACGTCACTTCACTGAAGTTACAATACACCGGAAGGTAAGAGAGCGTAAATGTCCAAAGCCTTCTAGAACACTGGAATAACCAAGACGTATCTGTCAATATTCGAAAGGATATTTGTCACGGGTATTGAAGTTGGCAAGTGAACAAAGAGAGAGTATAAGACACAGTGAGAGATAGACAGAGACAAGTAAAGGAACCGTAGCAGCTAACGCACAAAAGTCCAAATAAGTCCAGGAGAGAGCCACCACCGTACCGATAGAAACGCGCCGTAAGACTGAGCAAAGCAGAAGCCGAAACGGCCTCTTAAATACATATTTGTTAGCGAGGATCGTAGAATCCTCTAACCGACGCGAACAGATGGCATCGTCGTAGCGAGGAGGTATAGTTTGAATTTTCCGAAAATTCACCCAACCCGTCAACCACGAGTGAGGTTAGGTTCGAGACCGTCATAAACCACCATTGTTCCCTTATAATCCCCGTTCCTTCCTGATACTTCTGTGGAAATTTCCAAAAGCGTCGACTAAACTGTCACTCCTAAAAGGCCCGGGGAGCGAAATATACGTAACGTACTCAACGGGCACGACGTTCGACCACGGAATGCAAACTAGACGCTCGTTCGCTAGTTTTAACGGCCTCCCCAAGTCGACGTATTTGTTATCCCTCGCGGATCCTCTTACCTCTCTGCAACGAGAGAACAAATACGAAAACTGCGTCGTACCCAAGTAACGTGTACGCGTATATACGATAGGTACAACCCTGACCGACGACACGGGTAATTACGTGTCAGCTTTCTGTATATCCACGGGGGACGACGGTACGTAGACGCGAACACGCACTTCACCACACTCCTCGAACGGGTATACTACGTATTTACCGGATCTTTTTTTTTAACTGTAGCACGGGAAGGACGCGTCAATCTTCCAAATAAAATTTTTCATCAAGAAAAACATGACTCACGCCACAATTCGCAACGATGACGACACCACGCACTGAGAATCGTTCGCGACACTCGCAAGATTCGTGGAAACGATCGAAGAACAAAAAAAAAGTAACGCGACACTCCATGGTACGGACACTTGACTGGTTTCGGGTACGCTCGACAAGGACGTCTCTCACGAATACCGCGTGTATTATATGCGTCTGTGCCCATTGGACGGCGTTTTATCAGCGACACGGAAAATACTGGAACTACGTCAGACACGATTCGGATTCGCGTCGCACCAGCTGAATCGTCGGAACGTTCGAGTGACGACTTTCACCGTTATATATATGCATACGCGTAGATACGTGTGCATCCGGGCGTCTGTCGTGTGTGTATATATATATATATATATATATACTATATATTCCATGGGGAGAGATACCAAAGCGTTCTCTAGGAGTGACGATTGAAATTACGCGGAGAAGACTCGAAATAGTTTTTCAACTTGCCTATGTGATTATATGTGTATATATATACACATAAGAGATATACACGCGAATATAACCGTCTCGATAAGGACACGTTATTTAAATGTTACATTGGGTGGATTCACGAGAAAGCGATAAGGACAGCAAGTTGTGTAAAATTTATTTGAAAAAGGAGAGACGGACCTGAAGCTTTGCTCAGTTTTTTTTTTTTTTTCATAACGGTACTATCATTTCCGAAAGTTGCCGACGCTTACGCAATCGTGAACAATGAGAAACGAATTTTCGCGTCACGACGCCGACTTGGCAACGAGAATCAAAGTATACAAACGGAAAGATAAAAAACCGACGGGTATCTAGCTACCGAGCGTGTTTAAACGTGGGTGGGTAACGCGTGTGCACGTCGAACGTCAGTCGTTATCTAAAGAATCCTGACTTATCTTGTCTATCGGAATCCCGGGGTCTGGTAGTTTTAATGGTTCAGGATGGGCAGCGATCACGACGCAGAGCGGCTAAGGACTGAGAGGTTAATTGTTTTCTAGATGGCTGGCCAGTGACGTCGAAGCGTGGCGGAGTCGCAGTCGCAGTGCGATGCCTTCGGAGACGGCCGCGACACGTCATGACATTGAGACTTCGGGTAGCCGAGGACGAAGCGAGGGGAAGGCCCTGCCGCTCCCCACCATGTTTCACGACTGGAAGTTACTAGGCGAATGGTGGGGGCTATGCGCCAAAGGAGTGGCGTGCGGAGCCGACGGGGAAGATTTCGATGAATCAAAGCAGCCAGTGGTAGGGAACGAACGAGCCAAGGGGATAAGGAGGATAATTGTTGAGAGACGGAGCGCCGAGTTATACGGAGGATGAGGAACAGGGAGACGATAAGACGTCGTCGGGGGGGAGGGGGGGCGGAGGGACAGGCCGGGCAAGGTTGCCGGTGCAAGACACAGACGAGGACGCAAATAATTCTAGGAATGCAGCGGAAAACTTTCTACGCGGGATTCGATACTGTAGCCGTTGATTGCTGCTGTTACTTCTCTTTGGCTCCTGAGCCTCGAGCTACCATTACTTGTAAATAGTTGAGGTAGACATTTAGTTATTACGAAGTTTCGCTCCTTTCCTGTTTAACGTTACCAGGTAGTAACCGTGAATTGCGCATGAGGAAAATTCTTCGTTCGCTTCGGAAAGAGGCCCCTAACGAGAGGTTACGTTAGGTTAGGTTACGTTGTACTTCTACTGCCGGGCCTGTTTTCAACGCGCTGCCGCGAGCTGCAGGAGTGGCCTTACACGTGTGTAGATATGAAAATGAGTACGAAGAGGCGTGGACCATTTATGGGACTTCCGGTTAAACCAAAAGGACACGACGATCGAGACTCTTCGATCAATTGTTATTTATATTTGTTAAGGCAGGAAAAACTGGGTACTAATACAAACCACGATGGAACAGGGCAGACATATTTTGTTTTACGAAAATGTTTACCCGCAATCTCGTGACTCATCCGTATACGCGATAAGATAATGACTGCCGCCGAGGGAGAGGAGAGGGGAGGGATCGATTTTCAAAAAATTCAACGCGCACGCAGGAAGTCTGTGACTCGAAACCTCACCCGGTGCACGACCGGGTCGCGGTCAATTAGTCGTGTTTGTATTTGACCTACGTGAAGGTCGCAGTGTCAACGGTCGTTGAAATTGTCCGAGAGGGAAGAGAGAGAGGGGGGGAAGAAATAGCGAAGGAGACAGAAAGAATCTGGTCGAGCCGAACGTACGTCTATCTGGAGTCTCATTGACCCCCAGTACCAAATTTTGAAACAGTGAAATCTCCCTCGTTGGTTTATAACATTCTTGAGAAGTAGGATTACGACTTTGGGTTACCTTGAAAATTTACCATTTTTATTATCTCGAAGGCAAATAGTATAGACACAATACACGTTCAATATTTTTTCTTGTTTACTCGCAATGTATTTATGTGTCTGGTACGTAAGTCCATATTTACGGGTAGTTACGTGAATATGGAATAATGTATAGTCTTCGAAAATTTATTTTTGTCCCGTCCCCATGCCTTGGAAGGTCCAACAGCTGACGAGGCTGCGCGTCCGAGAGAGACGAAAAGAGAAAAAAAAGGCAAACTCACGCCCGACTGAGTCGCAAAATTGAGGGACAGGAGTGCACAACGAATTTTGAAATTAACCGTCTCCCCGACCCTTTTTCTCCTTCCTCTGTAAATAACGGCTGTGCCGCTTCGCTCGCTACGTTTTATTTACATCGTTGCAAGACGGGAAAACCGGGCTGCAAGAGCCGAGCCGAAGGATTGCGACACGTGCAAGTGAAAAGAAAAGGCAGGAAAAAAGCAAGCGAGAGAATTGCGCGAAAACGAAATAAAAGGATAACGCTATAATTTTTCGCCTATGACATAGATTATAAAGAAAGGAGAATAATGGTAAAAGAAAATAGTAGTCTGAAAATAGCGTGAAGCAGCGCCCATTTTCGGCAGTGGCAGTTGCCGAAGACAGGAGAGGATCGGACTGGGCGACTCAAGCTGAGAGCAAAATTTTCGAAACGGAAACCCGTCCCGTCAAATATTTAGCGGCTCTGAAATAAGTTGGAGAAAAGAAAGAAAAACGTTGCTTCTCGAATGCACAAGGAGCCTCTTCTCGAGGGCTATGGTATTTCTCAAGGAAAAACTATCGGCAGTGTCTCATTGTGCTAATGTGCTTTGGACTTTGAGGGGTGATAGGAGCGAGAGGGCGAGAGAGAGATAAAAATAGAGAGGGAGCGTTCGCCGCCATTGTCCTCGACCGGGACGCCTATGGCGCGTCGGTCTCCGATCTCACGAATTTCAAGGACACGGCCAGCCGACACGAAACCGGCCTGAAAGAAAAGAACGAGCCTCCTTCTCCCTGAGGCTACGGCTGACGTCACTAGTTGCATACCATTTCCATTCGCTTTGTCCCGCTGCTCAACAAGTCGCCATGGTACCTTTTCTACGTATACATGCACAGAGACATAACTCGTTGCAAGCCGGCCGGCGGGTAATGATGTCTACCAATAGTAAAAGGCGAGAACGAGTCGTAAGAAAATCTTGAAGTCGCGAATGTGACGTATCTAGGACCGAGCGAGAAGTCGCCCGCAGCGCCACGCCCGTTAGGCCGAATTTAAATTGCCATCTTGCGTACCGACGACCGTTAAAGAATTCGAATTTTCTTCTCATTATCACAATATAAACAACGTCCTCCCCCGTACAGGCAGAGATAAAGAGGATCCTCGTGAACGGACGTGACTCGAGAACAAATTATATCTAAAAAAAAAGAGTCCAACGATCTTTTAAGACCTTTGCCATTTTACGCCCACGATCGAACGCTACTTCTGGGGATGCTATAGAAGTTCCGTAGGAGGACGGAGGTCCTTTCAAGAGACTCCCCTGTAAAAACAGCCGACCGGTTTGGTGATGATCGAAAGGAGGTCGAGTGGAACTGGACAGGGATGAGCGTTTGGTATCCAGAAGATATATAGAGTAAGAAGCAAAGAGTTGGTAAAAGATTTTTCGAAATTGGATTCCCCTCACGCTCCTCCATGGGTCAATTGTCGTTTTGGAATATTCAAAATAAAAAAGAGCACTGATGACGCGCAGTGCTTGACCGAGAGGTTAGAGAGAAGACCGTGACTTTGAACGCATGATGTAAAACTGACTGGGTGGACTGTCTGTTAATACAAAATGGAGGATTTGCCGATTCCCGTGCGTTTGGCCCATCTGGTAATGGATAAAGTGAAAGAGACGGTAAAGAGGAGTAAAGAGGAAAGCAGCTAGAGTAAGACAGAGAGAGAGAGAGAGAAGAAAGATAGTAGAAGAGGAGGGTCTACCAGAGGGAGGTGAGGAGGGAAAGAGTGAGAGCGACGATCAGGGGCGGAGGCAAGAGGGCCCCAGGAAGAGGGGGCGCCTAGCAACAGGCCTGCCGGCAGCCGGGCAGAGCCAGTGTGATTAAATAAAACTGGCGTCGAGCGCGGCGACCCACCAGGCGTTGACATCAGTACACGCATATAAGCTCACTAACTAATACACTCCCTCTAAAGAAGCCTAACACGAACCTTTGCGGAACCACATGAACACGCGCGCACGCGCACGAACCGGCACATTCCCAGCCCACATGACTAGCCGGTCGGTCGGTCGGTCGGCAGGCCGGCCGGCCGGCCGGCTGGCTGCCTGACTGCCTGACTGCCTCTGGCTTACTGGCAGCCCCGTTTTCTTGGCTCTGTCGAGTGCCTACAAGTTTATTCGTCGATTGCCACTACGAAACGAGTAAGTTTCACGATAAGTACACGTGGGAAATTACTGTGGGCTCTGTTGCCGTATATGAGATTTGAAAACCGATTTCTAAGATCCTCGACGGGAAGCGAATATATAGCTCGATAATAAAAATTACAAAAAAGGCTTGAGACTTTACATTGAAATACGGTATAGAACCAGCTTGGAGCATTAATTTTAAAAAATACTTTTTTATACCAATTTTTCTAGGTACGTGCGTGATACTGGAATTCAATACACATTTCAATATATTATGTATCGATCTTATACCTTCAAAAGTATAGTGTGTCCAAACTGTTCAAAGCGTAATGGAGACTCGATACCTCCCATATTTCGACACTGTACGACCTAGACCTATAGGTTTCTATGAATCGTAATTCGGTACCCTCGGCACTTGGCTCTACCAAGAATTTTTATGTTATCGACACGTATCCCTACCCTGTCGAAATTTTTAAGTCGTCATTCCGCGACGAATCGTCACCGCAGGAGAATGTCCAGTGCAATTTTAACGATATGTAGATATCATTCGCGATGTAACTGCGAACTAACTGCCGCCATGACGTGCACGTTAGAATAAAATGACAGAGCTTACAGAGTTCCCGGACGTAATGGCCTCTCTACATACAAGAATACACGTAACAGCGAATATATATGTATAATACATGGAACGTACGAGTGTGTTATTCAGACGCATTTCTGACTCCTTTCCTCTGTCATCCTCGACCAATCTCCTGACTGTGACTTTATGGTACCCTCCTTGTCGTTCCTGCCCTTTCATTGTCCCTCCTTCATTTCGCGTCCATGAAAACAGTCGAAAACGCGACAGACACTCGCTTTCTGGTATGACTGAATACTTCGTGGGAAATTTCAAGCGCTATCATCGCTCCGCGAGAATTAACGCGAGAATTTAGCTGGTCGCGTGAAATTTCCTAGAATGCCTTTAGCGCTTATAAATTTCACGGGTTTGTTCACGTCCCCTCTATGTTAAATACGATGAGAGATGTAGCACCAATTATACACGCGGGCTTAGGAATAATCGAGCTGTCATCTCGATGACTTTCGAAAGCGTTAAAACCACGACGTTCTATTGCCGGAGAATGATAAGGAGACAAATTAGCGTGTAAAATTTTCTATTACGCAGCGAGGAATAAAGTCATTTTTTTATTGCACCCTGCAATATATATATCTTATCGTGCATTATCAGAGATATGGATCGCACGGATGCTGTGCGTCCCCGCCTTTAACAAAGTCGTCGACGTGGCTTGTTCTAGGTCAGCATGATCAATTCCACAAGCCGGTTCCCAATGGAGGTAACAGTACAGTATCTGCATACCAAACTGCTACAGGCTTATACGAAGTGAACTGTGTAATTGCGGAAAGACTGAAAATTGTAATTATTCAAATTATTAAAATATGTAAAAAAAATCATACGAAATGTACGCGGTAAGCACCTGAACGATAATTAACGAAACAGAAGCTATTCGGAGTGATTAAGAAAATTCATTCGACCTAATCTCCAAGATGATAACGGGACAAAAAAAAATTTCTCTTATTTTGGCCAATTCGAAATTACATTTGAAGCAACGAATATCAGCTACGAATAACTGTGGTTGACATTTTTTTTTTTTTTTCGCAAGAGAATCAGTGGTCGTCCTACGCAAAAGAAGAAGAAAGAGGAAACCGTCGCCCACAGGACTTTTGTAAAAATAAATACGGATCGCTCCCCTGCAAATACGCCCAAAGTAAAGGTTGGCCAATAATAGATTCGAATTTTCACTATGCTACCGAACGAACATCAGACGGCGTCTTATCTCCTTCGTAACAAAATGCGAATAATACTTTTATCGTTCCGCACTCGTTCAATCCTCGCGTTAGAAAGAGCCAGAGAAGTAAGAGCCACTTTGTAATTTATTACTTTCACGATTTATCATAGTTCCTCTCTCCTTTCCAATGGCGAGCAATCTTCTCTCTCTCTCTCTCTCTCTCTGCCTGTCTATCTATCTATTTATCTGTTCCTCTTTCTTCAACGTTCATATATCACAATACGAAGCCATCGACCGCAGGACACGTGCGCCTATAGATATAGTGCCTAGTGCGCAACCCGTATCCACTTTAATGCTATCGGTACCTCAGAAGGCCCTAAAAGGACCCCAGACATGAGGTATTAGCGAACAATCGTGCATTTCGACAAATGAGACACAAAAAGAATTTTTTTAAATTAAATTATCTGCATCCGAAGCCACGTGACAAGGAATATTTATCGATATGGCTTTTACGTTCAAAAATTTTTCAGAAATTTCTGTAATGAATTTCAAACCGTATAGCAGACTGGCACAGCTTTCGTCTATTAGCACTGTTATGATTATACTTCGTAAATGGGTATATAGCCTTAATTTTTCTCAACGATTTTCAGCTTTTCCACGTCACATTCTAGAAAGCAAAATGGGCGTTACGAGTATTGTGCGCTTGCACAGCAAGTATTACCTAATATACATAAGTCAATATGAATTTTCAGACGCAAAAGCACTCTTTCGGGGCGAACCAACAATTTCCCGTGATGAAATGACGTTTTATATATGTATATATACGCAGGCAATATCTAAGGTAACTGGTTGATTAGTTTATACAATTTTTATCTTGGAACAGTCGGTATGTACGGGTGTCTGAAGCATACGGGCCTATGGCTCGGGGTATTCAAGCGAGTCGCTCAGGTACGCAGCTAACCCAGAGGAACTGACCTTTCGCAACGGGCAACGTTCGAAAAGAAACGAAAAAGCACAAGCATAAAAGTGAGACGAAGAAAGAAAAAAAGAAGGAATCGAGGGTAAGAGAGGCCGAGAAATTCATCGGCCTGAAAATTTTTCCAACAAATTGTTTTACACAAGAGAACTCACTCTGAACCAATGGCGGCCCCGACGTTTCGACCTTTGACTCCCCCTTTACGTCCCCGTTCTCGATCCTTTGTTCGGCAAACCTCTCACCAAGGAATGCTCTCCCCCCGTCGCCCCTTCTTGTTTGCTTTCCTTTTTTTCCCCTTCGATTCCACGCAACCCCCACTTTTATCCTCCCAACGACCCCTGGTTAGTGCGAATGACGTAGTACGTCTAGAGAATCTTATGGACGCTCCGGGTAACGAAGAATTACGAGCAGCACAACGCAGACAGTGAATACGAGAGATATAAATAAAAATGGCGAGATAAGGTCGTAAGAAAGGGAGGATTGGGGATGAATAAGAAGAAACAAATATTAATTTTAGACGAACTAAGAGAATTAAATATGTATACTATTTAAAAGAAATAAAATTCGGTCCAATATCAACGTTAATCGTGTGTGACTAGATCGGCTTCAAAATGGCGTCTAAGACGATCAGAAAAACTCTTCGAGTATTATAGTAGAGCAAAAATTCTTCGAGTATCTCTGTACTCTACGTGGGAAGTCTACTTGAATACGGATTAAAATAGATAAATGGCTTTGTGTTCGTCTTTTTTCTGCATGCGAAAGAATAAAATCAAAATGCTCGTTGAAACAGCATGTGCGAAAGTACATCTATTTATTGGCAGGATGGTTTTGTCGTTTGTGCCTTTTACTATCCGTCCAGTCGTTAAGGACACGATAGTTACAATTACTGTGACAAGATCTAACAAGCCAATTTCATCCAGTGAATACGTGTACTGACGGATACGTCCGTAGGGTTATAAAATAAAGAAAAAAAAAAAAGAAGATGGCTTTCCTATAACAATGTATTAGACAATCGCAGTATAAACAAATTTCATGAATTTAACGAAAACTTAACAGCGTCAATTTTAATAGCTCGAACTCCTGATAGATTTCGCAAGTCAAACAATACTGCAGAACATTGCATAACTTCGTAGACTTGGTTCGTTAGAAGGTAACGGTGTCTGTATCCGGTATAAAATAATGCTATTTTTACCAGTAAAAATCAATAGACAAGCTAACGATCGTAATAGCTTTTGTTAAATCAGCAATTTCACGGAGTAAGTAATATTCTAGATTAAGATGAAGAATGGAAAATTTTTATGATACAGACTGTCTCTTACACGATTACGACCTGTGCTAGAGAAACTGGATTATTAGGTAACAAACAAGTCAGTGATCCTTTCTAAAGAAAATTCAAATATTCTCTAACGACTGGACGTAGTTTGACTTTCCGTGATCATAAGTATCAATAGCCAATCAATAAATTTGCTAGGCTTTGTTACCTGCATGAACACGTGTTTCTCGTTGTTCGAACCACGGAGGCGGTTACTGCACTTTCGACCTCCTTGAAGACGACTTTGACTCCAATCGATAATGCAATTTAGATCGTCTAGTCTGGGCCACACGAGTTATTCACTTTTTTTTTGTTTTCTTCTCCCTCGTACTTCTTCTTTTCTTTTTTCTTCCTTCGTTTTTAAATGTTTCCATGGAAGTTTCTTCACTGTGGCGTAACGAATCTTTACGGCATTAAGAGGCCCCCGGGCTTATCTATTCTCAGTTTTGAATTAGTGAACTATTGTTACTGGTTCAATGATTTTTACGCAGTCATCTTCGGGAATAAGTACTTTTCCTTACTTAAGACGTTGTTAATATAGTAGACTGGCACATTCCGGTATTGGGATGTAAAGAACTGTTACGTGAGTCGGTTGCTTCTAGTATTTTCTAGGAACGTATACCGTACGATAATTTAACACGTTATGCCTAATTCTCTAATTATATTGGATAGAACAGCAGCAGAAGCGGGTACAAATTTTATGGTATTTCAAAAGATGGATTACCGTTAAGCGTTTCGAACTTTTTTTCTACCTTCTTTTTGCGCTCCGCTACATAGAGTACAGTGCCGAAGGTGGTTATTCATGTTTGAAACGTTGCGAAGCCGGTTTTCGAAGTTTCGTAGTTTCCAAAGCCGTATCGACTTGGTAAATTTTGAGGTTATATTTAAATTTTAAATCCAAGATATCAATTAAATCGTACAATTTTGACTTCTATTACTTTGGTAGATCATCCAATAGCTGCTTCTTTCTACAATTATCCCGTGTATTAGGAAATTAGAATGACTGTCAATAAAAAGAAGAATTTCGTGATAAATCTTATTCGAAAATTGTAATTTTATTAGAAATTACTAGGAATTGCATATGCCATCGGGTGCCTCTTAACCTTCGCAATAATCGCGAATATATATAATGAAAATGGCGTATTAACACGTCACCAACACTGATATTACGTTGAGTACCGGATGGACAAATGGATTTTAGGAGAACGTGGCAAAGATAAGTGCACTTGCGATCAGTCTGTTCCCCTGGAAATTTCGAAAGTCCTGTCGTGGTTCAAGACGGTATGACGATGACGACGACTTGTCGACAAATAGGACCTGGTGCTCCGTCGTGGATAAGTCTTTAGGAGCGAGAACGAAGCGAGAGTACCTCTTTCACGAACGGCCGGCGACGAACTGGCCGATTGGCCGATGCACAGGGCGCAAAACGTCGTCTTATGCCAGCTCTACTACTCATCCTACTGTACATCGGGTCGAGCCGATCGCCGGCGAAAATCCACGAGCAGGATCGGGAATAACCGAATAAAACCGAACGACACGAAAGACGATTGTCGGGAGTAGCCGGGTCGGTCGCGACACTTTTCATATTTTCCGCCGTCTCATCGGAAATTCCGAAATGTCTGATTCTTCAAAGACTCTTTTTCATCGTGCATTCAGCTCGAGGAGGTCGGTAACTGGCTGCTAGACTGAGGGAGATAAGAGGAGGGACGATTATTAAAAGAAATATATCGATATAACAATAATTAACATACGCTAACAATTCACCATAATCCCGTGCATTGTAAATCGTATAATCAGCCGTTCACAAGGGATTGAAAGGACAGTCGATAAAGTTTAAATATTTAACATTCGACAAAGACTGGATGATATATCCCGTAGAGTATAATATCGAGCAAATATCCTGTGATTAACTAATAATAATGAGGAATAAATTGGTAAAGATTTTGTTCCCGTCTGGACACAAAGAAGTCCTTTGTCTCTTGGGATTCTTGCCGAATAACTACTAATTCCAAGCTGTGAAAACACGGAGTATCGCTGAATGAATTTATCGGTGGGTAAAAACGTTTCTACAGTAAAGGTTATAAATATATTTCTAGCTTTTCAGACACCAACGTTAAAATTCCTTCAGCAAAAACAAAAAGTGTAAGAGAGTAAAGGAAACGCCTGTGAAAGAAAGAGAAATGAGCATCACGAAAATAAACTCTCAAACGCTTAAGCAGTGCCTATCTACTTATCGCGTTGCTGCCAGCCGAATGGCTTGCACGTCTGGACCTTGAATATTTTAATCGCTACGTGTTTCCGGAGCGTTAAAACGAGCGACTCGTAGATCCGCGACGGCTCGTGCGTGACGGGGTTGAAAGTCGCCGTCATACGAATCCGCCAAGCAACCAAAAATCTCGACATTTTCTCCGCACATTACAGACATTTCACGCTGCTTCGCAAGCCGGCGGTAGCGAATGGCCTATAGCACAAAGGTACTGTAGGAAACAATGGATTACAGTGATTATATTGCGGACCCTGAAAAGTATACTTCGTCGACGGTGAAAGTCGTCCAGAGACAAGACATTAGAAAAAAGGCGTTATTACATACAAGTTCCTTAGCACGACTGTTACTATGTGAGAGAGCAAATAATTATTAGAGATCGATAAGAGATCCCAAGTAGTACCCTAAAGCACTGCAACCGACAATTAGACTGAATTCACTTTCTCGGTAGGAATAATCTTGATCTTGCATACACACGAGATATCAATCTAACCCTTAGTACCTTTTACAGATTGTATCTCCACCGACTGCCAAAAAAAAAAAAATCCCTAGGATGACAAAGTAAAAAGTCTTCGCCAAGAAGAAGTCCAGGTGCGTATCGTTCTGCACAGTGCGAGGGGATACCCAATGCTTTCCTAAGGGTGTAACAGCATGCAGGATGTCGCATTTGACCGTGCCATAACAATGCGGAAATTATTTCTTTTCCCACGATCGATCGATCCGCCATACCAAGGAAGGAGGGGTTGACCGAGGATTCCGGCAGTAGTTTGTGTAATTTCGTCTGGGTCCCGACATTCGATTCGAGAGCCAGGTGGTATCGTTCGGACTCTGGAGTTCATGGAGCAGTCCAGGGTAGACGCAGTGGGGTTGAAGAGTGGTATACGAGAGAGCAAGAGAAAGAGAGTGAGAGTCGGAATGGAAAGAGAAGAGAGAGGAGAGACTAGAGAGTGGTACAGTGAGGGAGCGATGCACGTAGTGGGAGAAAGGATGAACAGGGGAGTCAGGAGTGTCCCGGGAATGAGAGAGGAAGACAGGGTCCTTCACCCGAGCCAACGAACGCTAGCCTGGCTCCGTCTTGCCTGTCTACAGGCTGCCTGAAACTGGCTGACCAAAAGCCTGAAGAGTCTGACAGTCGAACTTTCCTGTATAGTCACTGCTCAGATAGATCTTGGAACATTTTGCCAATATCAATCCTAGTCATTACTAAGTTTGTATATACTGAGTACATTGATCATAACTGTACAGAACTCTATGTATCTGTACACACTGTACAAGTATTCATCCCTTACTTCATTTTACTGTACAGATACCATCAGGGTGCACAAAAGTTTCCTTCAATGCAACCGACCAGATCCTGATACACATGTTTCTGCATATCACTGAATTCACCTGAATGGGATATGTCTACATGCAAGTTTAGATGATTCCCATGGTGCACTATCCATCCGTGCCATTGGACATGATGTTATTCTATTTAAAAAGAGAAGCAATTAAAGTTACAGAATTACATAAAGTCTTTATTCTTTCTTAGATACCTCTGGTTACTAAACATCTTCACAATGGTCGTCCACCAAGAGCACTTGTGTAATCATATGAAGATGAATGAGGATTGTTATGGAAGTGTGATTAGCCAGAGTTACCTTAAGTAGCATTATTTTACCTATTGAGTCTAATAACGTCCATTTGGGTATTTTGGAACTCTTGTCTTTTCCTTAATTAAGTACCAATAATTCACTTGAGACTCGACCACGTCTTTGTTGATTATAGATACTCTAATGAGGGTCCATGACACCTTTATATCTGGAGAAAGAAATTTTTTGATTACTTTGAATTCTTGGTCTAACCTAATTGATGGATATTACAGATTATGGTGGTTGGATGTTGGAATTGTAACGGGCATTGTTGTGCGTGTATATATATATATATGCACGAGGTGTATAGATATTTGACTGCAGAACTCAACGGAACGATGGCTGTACGGGCATCGCAAATTCGCATCGGCCATCAGCCGGTGCCAATAACGTACCAAAGCAGATGGGCGACGGGAGCAGGAGGGCAGTTTTACTGTCTACAGGGCCGCCTCCATTAGCCAGAGTGCCCTGGCACTCGTTACGACTCCCGCAGAGAGAAAAATGACGAACGACTGGTTCTCTGACGATTTTATCATGAGAATTTGACCACCCTTTATATTACCCAGAGTGAGAATAATTTTACACTATGAAACTGTACCGTGGAAAACTTATGGCACGACGACAAAAAATTTCGAAGTTACCAGTGCCTTATGTATTAGCTTTGAATTTGAGAATTACAGGGCATTAAATTAAAGTTAAATCAAACAGAAAAAAAGTTCTCGACTATTTACGTTAGGTCGACAGTTACTAAAGTAATTGTGGCTGATCGCTTCTTTTTTTTTTAAGTCGCTCGCACTGCTCCGTTAATAAAAATAAAATTGAAGTCTTACCGAGCAGGTGGGTGAATTTTTGCAGAGCAGGGCTCCGCATGCCTGCGCCACGTCTGGGGCTTTATGCCACCGTGCGAAGAGCATGTCTGCTCGCGACCAAAGGACACGTGTGTGTTTCCGCATACGACTTTAGTCCTATCCGGCGTTTATATTCACCGTGCAGAAAACATTGACCCGACTGCTCGCCGCGTGCGTTTTCAAGATTCTCTCGTAGGGCGACTTAATGCCGGTCTCTCGTTATTGTTCATGAATGTATAAAAAGAAAAGGAGAAGAAATATTTTTAAACCAACCTCTATAAAGTGTCCTGAAAAATTGGATAAATCAATATGACTCCTTTTGACAGATCACGTACCATGAATTTTTGATAATCACTTTGTGTACCGGTTATTAAAACGGTACCCGATTCTTGTACCGCAGCCATTTTTTTTTTCAAAAAATAGTAACGGTCCTACTACAAAAAACATGCCACCAATTTTTTTTCATGACAAACGCGCAACGTCCGTTGATCAAACAATTAGCTCAAAACATGTCGAATGACAAACGATGAGCGTTGAATTTCGAAACTATTTTTGGCACGAGAAAAAGAGCCTGACGACCTTGAGCAACGATGATGACCTTTTACGTCACTGTCAGTGGTTCTCCTATCACAGAGAGAAAGTAAAGGGATAAAAAGGTTATCACTCAGTGAATTTAATGTCGAGTGAACTCCGCCTGGTACGTTTTTAATGTATCAGATAAAATTAAAAAAGAATCGAATAACAGCGTAACTTCCTTTTGTAATTTATGTTTGAAATATTGACAAGTCAATGACGATGATATTGTCCGACGCAGGCGCGATGGATCGCGAATCAAAGATGGCGTCGGTCTTTACACATATATTACCCGTGGGACGTCGACGGAGGCGTATCCTCGAAAACGGGTGACGTCGTTTCGGGAAAAGATCCTGTTAGCGCGACAATGCTGGTATAAATACCTTGTTACGGGCGTGCATGCTGATTTCAATGTGTCTGCCAGCCTTCGGGTTCTCTATAATTACTCCTCGCGGGAAACCAGTGCGTGAAGAGACAGTCTAGAGAACAGGATAAAGAATGGAGTGATAGAGACACGTGAACAGAGAGAGAGAGAGAGAGAGAGAGAGACTTTAAAATCCTTTTCTTTTTCTACCATCACGTATCTCTAGGGTGTGCTAGGAATTCTGACGACATTCACAGCCAGGAAGGACGTTCCCTCTATCCACTGAGACTTTAAAATCCTTTTCTTTTTCTAGAGAACAGGATAAAGAATGGAGTGATAGAGACACGTGAACAGAGAGAGAGAGAGAGAGAGAGAGAGACTTTAAAATCCTTTTCTTTTTCTACCATCACGTATCTCTAGGGTGTGCTAGGAATTCTGACGACATTCACAGCCAGGAAGGACGTTCCCTCTATCCACTGATCATCATATATACACGTATAGTAATATAGAGACGTATTCTTTTTAAACTTCTCCTAACGGCCACTTTTGGCGTACCGAGTCGAAATTAACTTTGGAATCTACGCAAAAGATGGCGACAGTGGGCGGACTCTACTCGGTCTCGCAATAACTCGTGGAATTATAATTTCCGAACGTTCACGAGTACCACGGATGACTTCAGTGACAATGGAGTCCTATATCCCCTAGGCTATCATAGTACAGCTCGTGTATGTACGAATGGACGAAGTATATATGTGAATTGGTCATTGTCTTCCTTGAGTACATGCGTATACACATCTGGCATTCTGTCTATGCTCAGTAATATGCTGTGTACATGGCTGTACGATGTATACAGTGATACGCCAGTAACTAAGAGTGATACTGCTACTCAATTTATTAACTGTAATTTAAGTATGGCTAATGGACAGCTCTGGAGTACCGAGAGGCATCGTTATAGAAACTGGCACTTGGAAGATAGAAGGTTGACTATGTGAATTCCTAAAAATGAAGAAAGTAAGAGAAAGAAGAAGGTACTCGGTTGATTTTAACAAAATAAAGTATTTCTATCTTCCCGGCGAGGGAGACAGGAAGGTCCTATGAGGTGCAAAGCGATCTCGTGTCATGAAATAAATTGAACAAAGGAACAAGATCAAAAAGTAAGACGTAAAATTTAAGTGTACAGTATTCATATTTAAAATCAATCAGGAGAATATTGTAAATAATATATTTCACGAGTGAGCAGATTAGGACTGAAAGGAGTTCATTAATATTTATAAAGGACTTATGGATCCCTGCGTATTCGACAGAGAGCAATGCTCAACGTGTCAATATAAGAGTGCAAGCCTTATTAGTAAATATAATTGTTAATAAATTACGTCATCGTCTTTTCGAATCAGACGATCGATGTTTCCATGACGGCACGTAGTCCAGCTTGGCGAAAAAGGAAAGATCGGACGAAATAAAGAAAGAGAGGAAAACAAGTAAGTAGTATAACATTTGAGAATCTGGGAAGGGTAAGAGGGGGTTTGGGATCTGCCCTGGCCTCCCCGAAGCCCCCAGTGGTTCCTGCTGCGTCGTCTGGCCAGACTTACCCAACGGTTCTTATTGTTCAGCTTTTGCCATTGCCCGTCATCCTCCGTGGACTGGGTGCAGCGGCTCCTTCGGCTCCCACAGACACAGACTCCTCTATTAATGGGCTTTAATTAAGAAATACTCGAATGATTCGCCTGCGTAGTCCGTTGAGCATTTCTAGAACCCTCTGAGAACCGGATTGGTATTGTCCGCCATATAACCCGGTCTGGCAATGTCATTCTTACCAAAAGTCTCTAGGTGTACCCGCCGTAAACTGGACTCGTTGTCATTGGTTGGACCTTTCTCGAAGCTTCTCCATTTCACTACGTGAATCAATGGTACGTAGACGTTCAAATCAGAGTCCTCAGACAATAATCTTTCCTTATCTTGAATAATTATCCAGCAGGACTTATTGACTGCAGATAATACATGGAATATAACGAAGAAGCCATTGGAACACACAATGGAACCAAGAGTGATAAAGGACTCGATAAAAATATGAACTATTAAACATCACAAGATCACCGGAAGTTGATTTGCATCTGCATAGTCGCGCTAGGCTTCTAGCTACATAACCTTTCTTTTTCCTTCTACGCCTTTAATATTAACAAGAGAAACCGTGGACCTTGTACAGGACGTGCACGTTCCTTTCTCTCCCTCGCGGAAGGAGCATCGAACCGTGCGTGTCTCGTCCAGGACAAAGTTTAGACATCGTGCGGATGTCCAATGGCGGTAGGTGAGAGAAAGAAGGCGAGTTAAAAGAAGAAAAAGGAGCATTGGCAATGCAGTGATATGCAGCGGCAGCATGCAGTGGCGCCGAAAGTGCAATGCGGTGCGCCGGAACGACGGCGTCGGCGTCGGGCGTGGCGGAAAACTGACCTCGCCTCGTCCTACCCGGCTGCCCCTTTGCGGCCGAAGTAACCCCCACTTCTGATATATGCCGGCTGTCGCTACCCCCCACCATCGTAAGATCGGACGATGCTACTCCCCCTGGTGCTGCAAGTCCAACTAGTCCCTGTGACTACTCATAGTAGCAATGTGCGCCAATCGCTACCCCCACCCCCACTACAAATATTAGCTTCTAGATGGGCAGCGCTACCTGTCCCATCGCTATCCCCTCTATTCTTGCTCCTAGTCAACCCCCCACCCGTCCAGACTCACTCCACCAAAGGGATTGCCAGACAGCAGTCTGGCTGTCTGGTTGCTGGGCAACGCGCCACTGGCCGCCGTCGATGAGAGGGTGCATCTAGTGATGGGTTTGAACAACCTTCGAGCATGAACAAAATTTTTATTCAATGATATACCATGTCTCTGTCGATTGGATCGAGACAGTTCTCAGTATCAAGCTCTTCACGGTAACGTCCTATGCTCCTCGTCTGACTTGACTAAATGAAAACTATCAGTAAACACTTAACCAATTTAATTTTTACACCCGTGATATCAGATTATCCAGCTTGTACATTGATTTCAGGGACGGACACAGAGATTCTAGACGATAAAGGAACGTACGACCAATGGCACTTCTGATGTTAAATGTCCTAGGAGGAAGGGAAGGACATATTGTGTCGTGACTTTCGAATCTCGATCCTTCCCAGACTAGCGAGGAAGATTACGCCCATTAAACGCTTGAAATCATTACGAGTATTAATAACAAAGTCTCCGCCTCCTCCCACGGGAGGATTCATACTCTCTCTTTGTCTTTCTCTTGATTTTCTTTTTCTACCTCGATCTCTCTTTGTCCAGGTCGGATGTCACGACGCCTGCATGTTAAAACGTGTGCCTCTCGGAACTCGATTTTTGGCCTGATACCGTGTACGTACGTCATTCTACATATGGTGGGTGTATGCACGATCTATATGTATACACACCTAAAGTATTTCAGTATGCGTATATGAGCGCGCGTTACGCCGCGGAAAGCAGTGAATGGTACCATGGCCCCTGGTATCATTTGACAATAGGCCTACACCGCTGGTATTTGTGAATGGCGTGCGCCGGAAATGCACTTATTGAAAGAGGAGATATAACACGTGCGAGTGGGAGCTGGAAATATGGCGAAACAGGCGCCTATGTACGTTCATAGGAGGAAATTCGATGGAAGGTCGAAAACACCAGTGCGTATACGCCCATTGGACCTTATCGGTAATGCAGGAAATATCGTGCATCCAGAAGCGTTGGACGGATCAATAATTAACTGCCGTTGATACTTAAAACGACTATTTATAGTTACGGCGCCTTGAGGAGATGCAGATAAGGGCAGGAGTTCGTTGAATAGACAAAACAGATGATAGAGTCTTGTGAAAAGGGAGAGTATGGATTTCTAGGGAGAAGGAACGAAACGGATTATGAAAAAAAGAAGCCTGAAGCCCAGATAGAAGAGTACCGGTAGCAACGGATAATGATTAGTCAAGTACTGAGAAGTTGGACTATGAGATATACAAGGTATGATAATAATTTTTAGGAATCTTTATACTCAGGAAATTGATCCAAGATAAAACTTCCGGTTTTCAGAATGGTATTTCGTTATCGTTAACTTGATGCCTGCTTTAAGGAAAAACGATGGTGGCAATGGCACTTGTGCTAGAATCTCCTTACACCTACGGCATTCACATTCCTTTGTTAGAAACCGATTTCCTGATGCTGCAAAGCCCACCGAGTCGGGCTGACTCATATAACGCGTGAGTGACTCAAGCTTAGAGATTGCCAGCAATGTCCTGAGAACTTGGACTGAGAACTTCACGGGACCCGAACCCAAAACCACTTTGCCGGCCATTCTTCTGCGTCCTCCCGCGTCCCTTTTATCCTGGATCGACATGGAAAGGAATACATAGCGGATTCAGGACAGCTTCACCATGAAGAATTAACCTAGTCCGAACAGATCAGCTTAAGGATTTGGACAAAGCTCGAAAGCAGCTCACCCAATGGTAGTCGACTTGGAGAATAAAATTTAACCCAAGGAATTCCACGTCCAAGAGTCTTTGGGTATACTGGTAATGGTTGAGAAGAAAAATGGCGTTGAGGGCACCTGCACCGGTTATTAAGTCCTGGTACCAGTAACCATTTACTCAAATATTTCCGGTTCACCTTGCAAACCCAGCACCACTTACGCCAGTAGCAGTACTGCCAACCTAGCAGCTGCTCCATTTCTACAAGACCCTGTGGTTCATCGGGTAGCAGAGCATCCTCTTCTATCAGGTACAAATTCCTAACCTCTTCCTTTCACGATTAAGGATCACCTTGTTACACGTTTATAACTTAGCCTTTTTTTGCGTCTGTTGTACAGGAGGCGCGTCGATCGACTGATCTCTCCTCTTTCTCATTCCTCCCTGTGCATACTCACTGTTAGGAATGATCAGAGTCGTTGGAAAATTGCACGGGTAGAGGCGTAGAGAAAAAATGTCTTCAGGCGCCACACGGCTGCACCTTGAGACGGAGTCAGAGTCCGTTCTAACGACTTTTAGCTCATCCCGTATGTCTTTCTGACTGTCTGTCTGTGAGTCAGCATGCTGTGTTAGTCAGGCACAATCGCTGTGAATCACCTTCTGAGAGTGGAATGTCGGCGCGACGCTCATAGGTTGCATTCTTTTAAGGTTGCGCCGGACACTGTACATCTTGCCAATGTGGTGGACGTCACGCTTCTGAGGCTCCTGAGTTTGTGTCGCTTGTCCTTAATGGAATGAGGAAAACCAAAAGAGTAATAATTACAGTTGTAGATCATAGAGCCTACTGCGTGGATTAATATTTATCCAGACTCACTTGGGTATCAGGATATAAAGAATCCATTAGCATTAAAAAAGAAAACATAGAGGCAAACTTGTGAATGTACTGAGGAATTTCAAAAATTAATATTTACTATCTATAATTATATCAGAGTTATGTACCTGATTCCGTATGTAAGTGCTGTCAAGTACTATCGTACCACGAAATGAATTAAAGAATTATAATCGTTGATTATTCTAATCACAGGAATTCAAATCGACGCCATCATGTGAAATCTGATAAGAAAGCTCCTTGAAATCAGATACCAGAGCAGAGTCAGTGACCAATTACCATGCGTTGAGACGTGGACGTATCCTGGATATAGTATATGAAAACTTAGTCTTGCCATTGGTTGGCGCGTGAGATTCAGGTAGTTGCTTTATAACTGATGTTTCGAGTTTTTATTAATCTTCTACGTACGCTCTTTTTTGCTTCTTTCTTCGTTTCTCATACTTCCTCTTATTTCCTTTCTTTTCTTTTTTTTTTCGTCAAGTCCAGTAATTGGATGTTTCGCTCGCGCTGCATAATTATTTACGATGAATAAATGCGGCTTCACGCATGCTCGGCCACCACGTGTGCTGGGCATATCCTGTTCGAGGTCGAACAGAAGAGTCAGTTAATGGATAATTAGTAGCTAATTGCAGAATCCATTGGATTGTTCGAGTTCACCGTGTAAATTATTTTATTAGCAAAATGACTAGAGCTTACCGACGTAGAAAATATTTGATTGAGGTAAAGGATAACTCAAGGTATTCCGTGCAATAGCGGTTATCTTCTCTCTTTACGTCTACACTCGGTTACTCGTTATTATGCGAGCAAAAAACACGGAGAAGATTCACGGTGGAGGAAGCTGACTTCGGTAGTCTTTCGACACGCCTTATAAACTTCGTTATCGGACAGATGGCTCGCGAGCGTGTCTAATGGACAATGAGAACGTTATTGTCTTCTGCTGTGAGTCTCGCTTGACACAATATAAAAGTAGTTTCGAGAATGGCTCTTCCTGGAAGAAAAAACACGCGTGAATTCTCGTTGCGACGAATGGCGTGGAATAATCCCGATAGAGCAGACTTCTTGGGAATCGATAAACACCCAAGTGGAAATTCCTTTCGGTAACGAAGTAAAATTACTCGTCGGCCTGTAAGTGAATCTGTCAGTGGCAGAGGTTCCCGTTATTAAAGTCGAATCTTCTCGGCAAGCTCGTTAGCGACCATTGAAGCGTCTAGAGTAGCAGCAGGTCATCGATCATAAGTATTTATTTCCGATTGGAGTGCACGAAGATTGTCAAGGAAAAACAAAATCGTTAATAAAAGGTGGCTTGGTTGTTTTTATATTAATTAAATGCTATTGGAAAAAAGGCTGGACATGTTACGTCGTCTGTTTTATCGACGATCGAGAATGCGTTTGATGCTTTGTGTGAAATCAAACCTATTGACGGTTGGAGCGTTTCAATTTGATGGTGGAACAGATTTTAATGGCGAAGGAAGTTCGATAATTGCCCGTTTCCTTCACGGTGGCGCCACATACTGGAAAATGAAAGAACGTTGATCGTTTAAATATTTCGCTTTTCGCCTTTATTGACTGATTCATTTATTGACTCGTTAACGACATATCTCGTGGTTCTACCTTGGATAGTTAAAAAATATCACTTTATTTGAAGTTTGTCGATGATGCGTTATTACAAAAGAAAACGACAAGTAGTTCCCAGCGTAAATGCTAAACATGACGACATTCACAGACTTGAAAACGCCATTGAATTTGCTGCGATTACCTTTACTTTTTTTTTTTTTAAATCGTTATGATGATAATTAATAATGCTTGCTATGTCATCTCGATTACTCATCGATCTACAATCGTACGGTAACAATCCGCGGAAAAGTTAAGACGAAAAACAAAGCTTATGAAATTTATACGAGATACCGAATGGACAGTTTAAATACTTTACCATATATAAAGTATTTATGTAAAAATAACTTTAAAATCTTATAATCCCAATTTCACTAAATTCTGTAACTATGAAGCTCGTCCTGTATCTCGCGTTTAATTGAGCAATCGCCCAATACGTCTCATAATCAAGAGATTATCCTAGTTCCCTAGGTCGACGATTTCATCCGTAAAAATATTTTAAAAAAGAAAAAAAAATAGAATTATACTATCACGTATATAATACATGCGCGGATCGTACGTAATACATTGACAGAGCATAGAAAATAATATAAAATTTTCATGGAGAATTTCTCAACTTCCTCACAACACACAGTATTTTATCTTGCTTGTTGTTTTTCACAGCTTCTTCGTAAAGCATGATGATCACTCGAGCACGTGTTCATCAAATCAACCCTTGATTAGCCGCTAATTAACTACTCGTCGTTCGCAAAGCACATCTCGGTGGACTGGATCGACATGATTAAATAAATTGCTATACATCAGACTCGTGACTAGGTGATACCTAACAGAATGATAGGTAAAACACGAAATATGGAGTCTACCTTGATATTAATAAGTCAGTTATTAAAAAGTCATTAGCGATCATATCACGAGAGTCATACGAATTAATAATGTCGTAACTTATAAAGGGACGCGACTCAATGGTGCAGCGCATAACTTCTTGAACCTCAATGACTCGAGCGACGTTCAGCAAATTGAAATAGTCGCGAAAGTCTATTTCCTTAGTCATTTCTTTTTCCTCGATTTTCATGAAACAATTGTTCTTAGATTAAGATTGCACAACCGAGAGACGCGATCGAAACCTCGGCGTTGCGCATGCGCAAAAGAAGAAGTTGTACTCGTAGGTAAATAATAAAAAGGGGGGGAAAAAATGATTAATGATCGAATTAAGAAAAAAGGTGGAAATGTTGTGAAAGAACAAAAAAAAAGGAGGAAAGTTTACCTGCGATAATCGCATGAAATATTTTACACTGCCAGTACAGCGAATTATCGAGTTTGTCTTTTCTGTCATTTCGAAATATCCACACGAGTATACTTTGCGTACGAGATGTACGGCTAAGGACAACGTTGTCATCATCGTCGTCGTCCTCATTAACATCATCGTTATCATCATCATCATCCTTCTTACGGTGCTTAACGTTGCGAATTACATATATATGTACAACGCTGACTCTTCATTCGTACAGTGTTATCATCGACATCCCAACCCACTATATAATTCATAGTGATGGCTTCGAAGAGAGTTTTGGTAGAGCTTCGTTGCCCGTAACTCGCGGACATCGTTTTGTATTTATATGTTTATTTCATCTTATCATCCCAACGGTGAGCGCAGACGCGTCAACGAAACAGACGAGCGAAATTGCGAAGTGCGTGGCTTACCGTTTTTGAGGAATCCGCTCTGAAAAATGGAGCAGTAGAAAAAGATATTAAAATGTCAATGAAAATACATTGAATCGATACTGTCGGCTTGTGTTGATCGCAGACTCCGTTATCGTGTAAATTACCTTGTGACTGTATTGTGAAATTCTAATAGTTGGTCAGGAGTAGCTGTGGGTGCACCTACGACATTTTGTGTAGGCATTGCTTTGATGGCTTCTTCCAGCCCTTTTGATACAAGCTTAAAAAACATTTGTTCAGTAAGCATTGACGAATTTCATGTTGAGTATGGGTAAGGGAATTTTTTCTTACCTCTCTGTCGAAGGATATTAATTCGACGATAACGTCAGCTACGTCAGAGAGCATATAAGAGTGTAAAGAAAATACAGAAGCGTGTAGTAACCTGGCGACTAAGGATTGTCCTTCCTTTCTCACTATTTCTTGCACCAGTTGTCGTCTTATCGCAAAGTCCGATCGGTTCTAATGGAAAACACGTTATACCGTTAAGAGCGTCAGGGTTAAATGGCATCAGGGTTTCCCCGGGACAGGTATGTTTGATGCATACCTCGTGCTTACAACCGCTGTGAAGTAAATCGTAGAAGAATTTCATGACGGAGGCATTGGCATCTCTGTGATCCAAGCTGCAGGCAAGGAGAGCGCACTCGACGATACTGCCAAGGGCGGCAGAATGTAGAAATGCAACTGGTGCTCTTTGTAAAAATCTGAAGAACGTCATTAGTTTCAGTTGATAATGGTATTGCAAGTATTTTTTGTATTTCAGGAACGAGCTTACCTTGCGCACAAACGAAACAGATCATCCACTGTGTCTGGATGATTTTTAAGACCATCAGGATGCTGAAGAATTGTGAAAGTAGGACCGATGAAAGCTTCCAACATCCCCAATAAGCCTGGGACACAGTCTATATCACTTGCGTACTCATCTACCAAGATGGAACCGAGGTACAGGAAACAACTGTGTTGATGGGCTGCGTAAAGCTCCACAATCTAATAAATCAAATATCACTTGTGTTATCTATTGAGGTTAAGTATTTATGCAAGACTGGTATTTATACTATACCTGTTTTACAAGAGGTTCTAAGAGGTGAGCTGAATGTTTTCCTACACAGCGAACTGCAAACCTCAAGCATCGACAGCATCTTTCCATGAGTCTTGTGTCGTGTTGGTAAGTGTTACATGCATTGGATAGTACTGGCCACATCTGTTTAATAATTCATCATAAATATATTGTATCCTATGCCGTAATCAATTCAAAGAAATATTTGACATGCTGGTGAATTACCTCAGTGATGACACTTTGACATGGATGAGGTTCATTAGGATTCTCAATTCGAGGATTTGTATGTCTGAATATAGCTGCAAGCCTGTCTAGCCAAATCATGGGATCAGTCTTGGTGCCTCTCTCTATAGGAATTCCTCGGGACTCCATGAGTTCACACAAAGGTCTCGCCTGGAACCAGCACAGCTCCTTCATCGCTGGTGCGATCTCATCTTTTGGCAATCTAGCCAGAGTACTGGCCACTCCTGAATAACAAATGAAAAGGTTATTATGAGACAACAGCTCACATAAATTATACACTAGGAATAAGAATATACCTTTTAGCAGCACTATAGCTGCGTCGTTACTGATGGCAAAATTATCCAAGGAACGTGCTATTTGTAAAAGACCTTGGAAGTGGGCAGCCATATGTAACGGACAAGCCGCGCAGATACTTTGTAGAGCACGGGAAGCTGCATTTCCTAATCCTCTTTGGTTGAGACATGCTAGTAGAAAATTTAGTACTGGTTCTGAAAAAAAAAATCACATTCAATTTTAAGAGCTTACAAAATCAAAGATTACTTGTCATTAGATTTTACCTAAAGACTGTGGATGCTTTTCGATCCATTCGCACAATTCCCCAAGTAAAAGAACACTCGTATGCCGTACTGCTATATGGGCATTTTCAGGTAGATTCAAAATGGCTTCAACCACCTTCGGTACTACGTCATTTTCTTCCCTGCTTGAACGCGAATACAACAATAGAAGACAAATGTACATAATAACAGCTAGTAAGTATGCAGGTAGAAAAGCAACTTACGGTAGAATATTTTTTGCGACTGCCTGCATAACAAAAAGTGCAGCTTCGGTCGAATCCCAAGTAGGTGGATGCGCTGGTTGTCCCTGTGGTCCAGGACCACCAGTCAAGGTCGAGAACATTTGGCGGAAACAGTGACTACTACCAACAACAAATACTACGTCCTTGATTAATTCTGACACTCTTCCTCGAAAGTCTGCAAATTCTTCTCCACCACCACCCTCTTCGACAAGTCCCAGCTGATCGAATGAAAATTATATATTGATTATTCTGCTTCGGTATATCTAGATCATTGTTTAAGAATTTCAAAAGGACTAACTTGATCAGGCTCCATTTGACAGTGCCTGCACAAAGCTGCGATAAGTCTCTCTATGTGAGGTTTAAAAACAGAATTGAGGTCGTCGCTGTTCCTTTGATATAGAACTTCTGATAAACGATACCATAGATTGAAGGTTATTTCCGCCACCTTGAAATTTCATATCGTTATAGCACATACGATTGATTTTCCTTTGCAGTAATGAAGTTTAAGATATTTACCTCATAGTCGTGATGACCAACGCACATGAGAACAAGATCAAGTATTTTAATAGCATAATGTTGTTTACCACCCACGCTACCAAGGACCATAGTTTCCAGGAAAGTTTCCGCAAGCTCAGTAAATATCCGACAGTAGTTCATAGACCTGCAGAGTAATATTCCACTATGTTCATTAGGTGTGAACAGTTGTGCAAATGTTAAGGATACGTGAAGAGGATAGATTACTTATCCATGTCTTCATGTGCCACTGATAAATGATACGGTTGTTCGAGGGTTGTGACACTTGTAAAGAGGCACAATTGAAGCTGTTGAAGTTGCGCCTCTAATTCAGTGTTTTGACCACGGTTGCAACTGCTCTCTTGTTCAAGAGCTTGTAGTATAATGCAGACGCAATCAGTCGCAGCTTCGTGTAGTTGCGAACTAGCCATATGATTGCCTAGTACCTGCGTCAGGAAGATTCATAATGTCTTTAACTTGCTTTCACGTGGAATTTAAGTTAGCGAATAATGAAGAAATTGTGTCTACCTGAAAGGCGTAAGCTACAATATCACTGGAGGGGACAGCCTGGAGGGAAATTGCATGTACAATTGTCCAACTTGTAAAACAACGGAGTATTCGTATGTGAATTTGTACATTGTCTCCGCCATTTTTCAAACACATTTTCTAAAAAAATTGTTAAGATATACTTAGGATATTAAACTATACTTGTACTGAGGGACGAGTAGAAATTACATTGGGGATGAATCAAAAGACCATATATCAAAGAGAAGCAATGGCAAAGGGTGAAATCGAAAGGTTAAGAACAAAGACTATACAGGTGTGGAACATGTTTGAGGCAAAGGTTAAGGAGGCCGAGATTTCAGCAGGATGCTAAAAACAAAGAAGTCAGTTATGTAAGATGAAACCAGTATATAAGAAGTTTGTAACCAGTGAGGTACTTGAACGGAAACAAGTGAGAAAAGGTTTGCTTATAGAAGGTGTGGAAGACTAGAGGGAATACTAGGTGGACAATACAAGAGAAAGAGAGCAAAGAGGTGATCAGGTGGGTAATATGATCTGTATACTGTGGAATAGACTGTATGAACTATATACTACCGTTGTGTCAATGATATTCATAAATTACATACCAGGAACTCCATAACTGTTTCTGCACTCGCGGTCAAGTCCATTAAAATTTGTTGCCGCCTATTGGCTCCTAATCTAAAGTGAAGTTTTGTGAGATATATTAGACTGAAGTTTGCTATTTATTATAATCACACGAACCTGAGAGATCGAGCGTTAACTTCTTCTGGAAGAACGATCATAACTTCAAGCAACGGCCACAAACTGGATGTATTACTACCAAACCTATTTATTAAATCTACTACTGGTTTTTGCCAGGAGGACATTTGTAGCGTGAGGTCTGCTAAAGCTACACATAGCTGCAAGCAAAAAGTAAATTGATAATTTTTTTAAATATATGTAAATAACTTCCTTTCTAGCTGAAACAAACCTGTGTAACGATAACAGTATTAGTGTGTTCGTTGATTTGAGATATGTGCTCCATTAAAGAGTCTCTCAGTGATGCATGAGCTTCAGTTGGCAACTCATGAAAGGACAATTGAATTTTTGTACGCATAGTCTGTGCAGCGAAGTAACACGACTCTAGGTCTCTCTTTTGCTGGAGCATTTCGTCTGCCACCTTCCATGCATATACCTGAAAAATAAAATCAAAAATAAATGCATAAACAAAATATTTATTAAGGAAGTAATAATTACTACAGCAATAGAAAGTATTAGATGTTCTCATTCGTATGAATGAACTTTCTCAGCCTAACAAAGATATATATTTATCCATATCACACCCACGTACAGAAATGTATTTTTACAACACGATATTTTAAAATAACGTCGTTAAATAACAGAGTAGACTCGAATACGAGGTTAGCATTCTGGATCAAAACATACAGCAATACTTAAAACGTGTATGCAAAGTGGCAATATAATAATCAATTATTGGGTGACAGTACCGGTTTATCAAGGGGGAATAACAGAATCAATCGCTAAAATCAAGGCTGAATAAACGTGCCAAGAAGAAATAAAGGGAAACTCACCGATCTTTGTAATACGCCCAACCATAGTGATGCCTTTTCCTTTTCCAACGTATCCGGATTGTTGTACAACGAGTAGACTGCCTGATAAACAGTCTCTAATGCGGGTGGCGAGTCCATGCTTTAGAATATTACAGCTTCCCGTACGATCTCCATGCAGTAAAATCTCTCTGACAACAATTTCGGTGGCGTTGTTCTACGTACGATGTCGGTCATCACGTCCGGGAAAATCTACCGCCACAGCGCCGGTACAACCAGTGGCACGCGGTATGTTTCTTCAGTTTCTGCTTTACTGATTGAGATTTTACGTGGCAGTTCGATTCATTATTCTTTACATAATTAATAGATATTTTCAGTGAATAATTAAGATATGATAAATGCTACCTCTTGTGTGAAAAAATTTTCTAGGATTGTTAATTTAGTGCGACGTCAAGAAGTCATTGAATAATAGATGTCATGTTGCACCCTTTGCCCGGTTGATAATGTCGCCGTAAATATTTCAAACCTTTAATTAGCCACAGCCTTGAACACCTGATAAAAGACGCGCGTTTCTGTCACTTTGAAGATATTCAGAGCTTATAAAAAAGAAATTGATAAATATATCTTTACAGTGAGAACAGAGCTGTGGAGTCGTTGGGATAAAATTGCACGAGGAATTATTTAAATCGAGCGAATTGACTTATAATTCTTTTTAGGAATGAATTAACACAATTATAAAACTGTTTGTTAGACTATTATATACAATGTCGTTACCGTGATATTGAAGAACTTTGTTGTAGCTCGAAATATGAGATGATATTAAACCAATTTAGTAAAACCGTTAAATTTTCGTGGTTCAAGAATTCTTTTGTTTTTTTTTCAGGAATATAGGATATACGCAGCTTACATTACGTTGTTGAGGAGAATTCTAAGGAAATTAATCAAATATACTAAAGTAATTAGAAAATATTAGCAGATCTTCAAAATAAGGAGCCATGCATAATTTTCAATGGCGCCGAATGTGTACCTGCGCATGAGGCCGGCCGTACTTAACCAACGAATGTATTTCGATGCTGTCAAACTACGTGTTTGACAGAATACGTAAGAGGGTAATAAAAGAAGGGTGTTCGATATAATGAGTGATTATAATATTCCAATTATTGAGCCTACTATTGATTATACACAGGTTCGTTTTTTGATATTTATGAATTTCATATTGTATGTAATCTAATGGTGGTTGATGTTATTTTTTTACTTACAGGTTCCTGCTATACATCAGAAGAGAACTATTGCCTTTATTAATCATTTTATCGTACACACTGTCACGTTTTTGAATAAATTTGCACTATCATGTGAAGAAAGATTGTTCAACTTTGAGAATAAACTGCAGAGAGTAGAGGCTTCGCTGCAACTTCTTGAGTCGAGGGTATAATATTAAGGTTTATATGTCATGAACAGAATTCTACATGAGAATTGATAAGGGAAATTTGGACTTTTTTTTTTGAATAGCTGTCCTCTATACCAGGCCTAAAAGAAACACCAGATCATCAGGAAGATGTTAGGGTACAAAATGAAGAGGTGAAGAATGTAGAGATTTCGGAGCAAACAGTAGACGAACCTGATACCAATGAAATTAAAGTTGAGGAACCAGAGAGTGACAAACAACCTATCAAGGAAGATCCTGTATATGGAAAATATTTTAAAATGCTGCACGTAGGAGTTCCTAGGCCAGCAGTCAATTTGAAGATGCAACAGGAAGGACTAGATCCATCGCTTTTAGAGTAAGTTCTTGTAAAGAGATGCATTCTTTAATTGCAACTAGTTGCATTTTTTTATAAAATGTTTTAGTTTTACATTAGAGAAAATGATTTCAACAGATATATGATAATGTTTGATGATAATATTTCTTGATTTTCATTTTATTTTTAATGCTGTTCTACTTACAGTGACCCACAACTGTTGGTTCCAAAAGCAAAACCTGATGCACTAGGTGAAAGTGCAAAAGATGACTGATTACTTTATTGGTAACCATGTACATCAGGGAAAAAATAAGTGCAATGTATGTATTTTTGCATTATACAAGGTACGTTAATAAATAAAACCATTTTACAAATCCTCCTAGATTTATTTTTCTTTTCTTAATACACCCAAATGCATAATATTTAGAGATATTTAGAACTGGATCATCTGTCCCTGTAATTAACAAAGTATATACAAATTAGTCATTGACAATAAAAAATAAATTAATCCTACACTGCATACAAAAATTAGCCAATTGCATAAATAACCAAACAAATACATACCTTCCTCTTCTTATCACCTCCCAGCTCGAAATGTTTGCAACGCTTCAGAGGAATTTGCTTCCTGTATTTGCATTCAGTGCATTCCATCCTCAATACAATTTTCTTGGTTGTCTTAGCCTACAGTTACAAAATAAAACAAAATTATGCTTCTGCTTCAAACATTGCACTCCATGATTCTTTTAGTAGCTCTACAATATACCTTCTTACGGAAAATAGGCTTGGTTTGTCCACCAAAACCTTGCTGTTTACGGTCGTAACGTCTACGACCCTGAGAAGCATGCCTTTCCTTGCTTTTCTTATATTGAGTCACTTTATGTGGCTTGTGCACTTTGCACTTTTTGCAAAAAGTGCGTCTTTGTTTGGGAACGTTCACCTGTAAACAAAATATTTTAGTATTATTCACTGTAATCTTCACATTAATACTTCTTATTCATGAAGTATTTTGCATTCCCATAAATTCTATTATTTACTACAAAATGGCAGGATTACATTATCTATGCAATATAGAATTAGAATGACTTATAAGCAGCACAGTTAACATTAAAAATAAGTTTTCAAATTCAGCTGATATAATATAGAAAATACTGAATTTCATGTCTTGCATGTTTTGAGGTTATACTTGTCTGTCATGTTGTTATGAAGGTACAGTTTACACAAAATTAAAAAATACCCAATAGAACATTCAGTAAATTTATCAATTATATTAAAACTTTTATTAATATTAGATGTTTTTCACGGATTACCACTATTTCAACAGATAATAAAAGGCTCATAGAAAATATGAAAATGCCTACCATCTTCGATGTTGGGAGAAAAGGGAAGTGAACGTCTGAATCGGAAGTTGACGTCCATGCAGCAGTGGGCGCATGCGCGTTGTACCAAAGTGACGTAAAATTTCAGAAAAGTTTACACTTTTTCACCGTTTCCTCTGTTCCTCCCAGAGTTGACGCAATACTGAATGTCAAAGTATAAACAATATTAACGTCCCACGCAGATCTAAAATATATATTAGTAATATATTTCCATGAAAATATTCCCTCGTTTACTCGCGTGAAACGCCACCAGCAATCTTTAACGTATACGCCGTGAAACAGGTACTGATAAAAATTCATAAGAAATAAGAATCATAATACATAAATTACATCGTTATCACTTTTACAAGATCCTAAGAACATTGACTTTACTAATATTGTTAATATATGAGCATTTCCGTAAAAAGAATCTATTAAAAATTCTTCAAGCCTACTATGACACGCTTGTCCAATGTATCGAATCATTAAATATACAAGAAAACTCATAGACGTATGACAAGATAACGTGGTTGAAATATCATTGTCATTACTAATTGATTCCAAAGAAAAAAAAAGGAAATTCTGTCATTGGCGTCGTGATAGTCCTCGTTCAAGTTGAAGGTAGTCATTAAAATTAGTCACAATACTGACTGATACACGACAGAAGTCGATGTCCAAGAACGAAAGATAATATTCTAGAAAATTCCGAAGCATTGCAAAGAGATTATTTTAATAATATACGATAAGCGGAAAAACGATGATGATGACTGTTACGAAGAAAACATACCTAATATGTAACGCTTGTGAAAATCATGCGAAACAGTCAAATTTTTCTGGTGATAATCATGTATATACATATATGTACAAAGTATCGTATATTGATAGGGCATACATGAATATGGTAAGATAAATAAAGAATACGATACAATACGATTAAATCAATATAACAAAAAAAATACTAGCTCCAGATATCTAAAGGAAAAGTATTTCGAGCGGGATATTTATCGATTTTTCCAGGTACAGGGCGTCCAAAAGCGCGTGGACGGATCGCAGCGCCAGAGCTTATTTGAATCGAGCGACGTAGCCTCGAAGCAGACATGCTTCATGCTCCACGTACTCTCAAACCCCTCGTCTTTAAACAAAATGAATTTTATTCATATAGAAGAAAAGGGATTTGGTAACGAGAGCAAACGTAGAATTAAACGAATATCATGTGGGATCTCGATACGTTAGGTTATCGGCAGTGGAACGTTCGAAAGACGTTAAACGTTCTTAGCCAATCAGCTATTTATCGAGTTTCAAACCCGCGCCATCTTCATTTTTGAACAAAGCCAGGTTGGACGTGCTAGGAGCGAGTCGAGATCGGGTAGTAGTCCGCTTTCCGCTATTCGCGCCACAGTCGTCGGCACACGCCACTCTCCGTTCCTGACTGGTTGTTCTCTGTCTCGCCCTTCCCCTCTCTTACTATTTTCCCCTTCTCGATCAAACCAACTTTTAAACCCCCACCCCCCATAGGCTACTACCGCCGCCTCCACCGACGGTACCCCTGCAGCTACCAATACCGTGAATCCCTTCCTCTATTCCTAACTACCCCACCACGGGTTTTCGCCTGACGACGCTGCTCTCTTGGGCATTTCGCCGGAAACCGACGCCGCGTGAGGACGCACGGACGCAAAACTCCAACGCGAACGCACGACGATTGTCGCTTCTACGACGACTCTTACTCTTCTCCCGCTTGTCCATAACCGTGCGCTCTCCTTCTCACTCTCTTTCGCTCGCTCACTCTCTCCCTCCCTTCCTCCTTGTTTCACTTGGTGTTACACTGTCGCGGCATACACGCTCCTGCTCTGTCGGAGTAACACGTTCGGTAAGGAAGAGGACGACACGCAGGCATCGGTTTCGACGACGCAGCATACCACGCACACGCCATGAGTACCAAGGAAAACAACGAGGTTGCCGTAGAGAAGGTGACGGAGAACGACAAGGCGTCTGCTGACGCTAAGTGTGAGATCAAGGGAATCAAGAGGCCAGCCGAGGTGAGTTAACAGTGAATTTATATCTCTACGACTTCGGGTCTTATGCATTTGGAAGTGTGTCTCGTGTTCGGAGGATCTTTACTACGTGTGTTTCTTCGTTATTCATCGCAATCGTCGTTACGTCGTTGTCGCTCATTGTGAATCATATCGTGTTCCTCGTTACAATTACTGGCTGCAGTTGCGTATCGCAAAGTTGCGTGAAGTGAGGACGGGTCGCGTAACGGAGTTACGCGGGCGAATGATCTTGGACATGTGTGAGGGGAGAATGCCGGCCGGCGTTTTCCCAGCGACTCCATTTTTCGAGCTCGCGGCGTTCGTCGCTCTCCCTCGCGTGTTCTTACGTAGCTTGGAGTCCGCTCATGAGTAGCGTAGAGCCCGCCATCCTGGACGACCTAAAACAATCTCCATTAACCATCTTTCGCGTGAGGATATTCACGGCTATATTTATTAGTCATTCATTGTCACGATTGTCGTACAATATTTGTTAAATAAACGTTACGAATTTCGAGTACCCGGTTGATCACCTCTTTTCGCTTACAATTCCGTCGTCTATAATTACCGATCTGGATTCGAATTGCGCCGGCACCGGACGCGCGTCGTGTGCTCGGCCGATATCTCAGCGTAATACCGAGCTTATGCATTCCATGTGCTTTACGTGATTATAAATTCTTGACGAAATTTTAATTTCTCCGAAGCCAGTCATAAATCCATAGTATACTTATGAATAACGCGTAAAGATCAAGCTGGTATATCGAGGGACGCCATTTTCCCGCATCGCTGTCATCGATGGGTATTCTTTGCCGGGAAAGCTAGACCTCCCGCGCATTTTTCCGGGCGTCGTACCCATGGCGCCCATGTAATCCAGTCCGCGTTTTTCCTCCTTTCCGTTTTAATTAATTGTTCGATCATTCTTACTGAATGGCCGTGGGGAGTCTCTCTCTCGATCCTTATTCTAGAATTTATTCATCGATCCAGCAGTCTCCTTCTCTCACTTTTACCTTCCCCCTCTCCCTCTCTCTGACTCGTTCAGATATACTATATTCCGGGTAGCCTGTGCCACAGTTTGCCTCTAACTCTCCAACGAAATTGTTTACCGGGTTGCATGCATAAACACGACGCCGAACGCCTTCCTTTGCGACGTGACCCACGCAGTCGACTCCAACGCCATGTATCTCCTTCCCTTTTTCCTCCTACTACGTCTACTTCTCCGCCATCATCTCCTACTTCTCGTACACACACCGCGTGTCCCTCTTTTTCTTCCTTGCTTCGCCATTACCTTTTCTCGCGCGCGTTCATTTTCCCTCTCTCTATCTCCCGCTCTGCTCGCCCTCGGCTCTCCTCTTATCCTCCTCCACGTCGGCGTTACGAACCTTCGAGAAAACATCGTGCGATTTTTCATCCTATTCGGCACGTATTCGAGAACACGATTGCCGCGCGATATTTTTAGATATAGACCATCATCGTTACTACGAGATTCGAGAACCGAGCGCAATTTCTCTGTAATTCACACCGACGCCGTACGACGCTACCCGGAAAGCGTCTCCTACTTTTGAGCGTCGCGGCGTTACATCGTCTCCCTCACGTCACGTGGGACGTCTCTTTCTCTATCTGAAATATACTGCAGATTAAGGCGTCTACTACGAGAGTCGGTCCTTATTTATTTTTTCACTTTACTTGCTGAAAAGAGAGTCCATTTTCCTTTAATTAGCTTTGACGAAAATCTTCCATGGGATAATCTGACGCGTAAACAATCCATTGTGGCGCTAGGTCGATTTCTCTCAAGTACCCCATGACAGCGACACCTTTTACCGTTACCGTAACGCCCGAAATAATGTGACAGTTTCTAGCCAATATAAATGTTTGTCGGGGAAACTTTCGAAAGCGAACAACGGTACTGTTTGCTTCCGTTTCCATTGTTACCGACCGGGCAGCACGGCCAAGAGGTTCGAAGGAAAAGCTGTAATGTGAGGGCTTATCGCCTGGCGTCACCCGAGCATAAATCAATCTTAAGGGAAAGGTTATTTGAAAAAAAAAAAGGGTCTCAAGCCTCGAAACCATCGTTCGTCCCGTCGCTTCAGTTGGATTATACGAAGAGAAGCCAAAAAGGCGCCACGATATTCGGTAGGTACGGTGTACGTTAATTTAGTTCAGCGGGTTAACGATAGAGCGCGCCACTGTCGTCTCTACCAGCGACAATGGCGGTAGAGTACTGGTTGTTTTTGACGATAAACTTGCTTACATATTATAGCATTTTATTATCGCGATTCAACCGTCGTTATCTTCTCTTCTTTCCCTCCCCACCACCCTACTCCTTACACCGTCCCCTCAACATCTTATTATGATCCCTCTCCGCTTTCAGACTCACTCACGTAATTCTTATTTATCATATATTATAACCAGGCCGAGTCGGTATGTAGAGCGTAGTAGGCCATGCTTCGTGCAAGTCCCCTTGAATCGAGCAGAAGGCGGGAAACATAATGAAAGCTACGTCGATTAGACACAGTTATGGATCGATGGACTTTAGCCTAAAAATAAACGATTGGCCATCGGGTATCGAAAAATGGCTTCGACATTTTTCATTGTCTCTTTCTATCTTTTTTCTCTCTCCAGTAATTCTAATGGACGCTAAGCATTAATCGAGATCACTCTGGGCATATCTGTTGGTCCTTATATCAAGGTCTGTTAAATAAATGCAATGAATCTCTGTCCTGAATTAACCGCGCGTATGTCGTGAGAAATTATTTAAACGTTGGTATTACTTACCGCGAATTTGATATAGAGTAATCGTAATTCTCTTTACAGCAGAGTCACGGGGAGACCTTGAAAAGTTTTTAAAATCCCGTAAAATTATGATTCGTCGAACGAAACTCTATGACGCTCGTTAACGATAAAATTATTGATATCCAAAATGGCAGATTCGTCTTTTTCTCTTGTTTCGGCCAGTCAGTCACGGAGGAATCGGGAAAAAAAAAGAAGAAATCGGTACGATAGGTTAGAACGTTGGGTTATCTAAGGAGACCTCGTGAATGGTAACTGGCTGATAGGTAATCGTTTCTTGCTCATAGGAGTAGGCCGCGTCATCATTTCGTTTGCGTCCGACGCCACTGTCACCCACTCTATCCCGTGTGCCTAGCGACGACGCCATCCGCGTAGCGACGCCGGTAAAGCCGACGTCGAAACACAAGCGAAAGATTCACCAACGGACTTTACGTAATTTCGATCGCTGCCCAACAAAAAATTCTTAGCAGCCCGTGTAAACACGTCGCTCTCTTGGTAAATCGATCCGGGTGGGACTCGTTATCGAAGATATCTTTGTCGCGAGGAATTCTGTCCGATGTATCTGCATGCAATACTGGGCTACACTTATCCTCAATGATATTTCTTTTAATATAGTTTACCGGCGAGTGACGAATCGCGGCTTGTTGTAGGACGCGTGCCAAAAATTCACTCTTTTATTTTTACCGCGTTCCACGACGATTACCCTTTGCAGTGGTCACATATATCATTGGGCAAGTAGTCGCGGAGAGTGATCGGAGAAAGTAATAACCTCTAGCCTGGTTTTCATCCAGCTTCCGTCAAATGAGTCTCAATTAACACTGTTCCTCTCTCTCTCTCTCTTTTAGAATATCAAAACCACACCTTAAATAGTGGAACTGAAGTTCCAGCATATGACTTTTGGATAATGCTTCGTGTCAGCTTTTTGTACGGAGTCCGTTGAATTTTTTTTTTTTTTTTTTTTTTTTTTTTTT